TAATAAACTAAATACCAAATAAAACAAGAAACTTGATTTCACCCAAATATATATAATATAAACATGTAACTGATACAAATGTAAGTTCACTTACTAAAACAATTGTAAGACCAAGAAAATCTTAAAAATTCATTATAAATTTGATAAAACACGTTTATAAAAAAACGTGAAATAGTAGACTAACAACGCAGTCTACAAAGGTAGACTTTGTATGAAGTCTAAATTTTAGGTTACTTTTGCAATTGCCAAAAGATAAGTAGACTTTCTATGAAGTCTACCTACTCCGAGAATTCTACTCGAGAAGTCTACATAAAAAATGGTTAGTTTTGTAATTGACCAAACTTTGACTTTTTTCGTAAGAAGTCTACTCGCAAAAGTAGACTTCTTCGGAGAAACCTACTTTGAAAGTAGACTTCTTAAAGGTTAGTTTTGCAAGGTTTAGTTTTGGGGTTGACCAAAAATTGAATTAAATTCCTAGTAGACTTCAAAGTCAACCTTGGTCAATTGTAAAACTAACCTCTAAGAAGTCTACTTTCAAAGTAGACTTTTCCGAAGAAGTCAACGGTTGGACAATTGCAAAACTAACCTCTTTTTATATAGACTTCTTTTGAAGTCTACACCATTTTTTGTCAAAGAAAATGGTGCAGACTTCAATCGAAGTCTACTGTCAGAAATTGGTACACACGGTCAATTACAAAACTAACATGTGTGTTGACCAGAAGACATCTTCTGAAGTCTACTACAGAAAGTTGATTTCTTAAGAAGTCTACTTTCACGGCACAGATCTGAAATCTCACGAAAATTGACTGAAAAATTACCTACCAGTGGTATATATTTATCTTCATTAACCACCGAATTTTTCGATTCTAGTCACCACCAAACAAGCTCAATCGATTTGCCAGACCAAATCACCAGATATATCAATATCTTAAAACATCAAGTTTTGAAAAATTAGATTAGAGAATTTTTGTGCTAAAAATGAAAAAAAAAATGGAAGAATTGAAGGTTAAGAGAGGAAATAAGCTTACAAAGCAGAAAAATGGGTTGTTGAAGCAATTAAAACTTCAAATTGGTTAAAAATGGTGGCTAAGTGAATTGATGGTGATGGCATTTTCATGAATTAGTGAAGAGGATGAGGATTGTTTGGCCAATTGGATTTTCGAAAATTAAAGAAATAACAATAATCTGATAGCATTTTTTGTGAATAGATGAAACAAATAAGGTTGAAATTGAGAAAAAGTAGCTAATGTTAAAATTGATGAAAAGATAGGTTATATTTGCAATTGACCCCAAATTGTGAGTTATGTTTGAAAGAAGCCCTTTTTATTGCTGTTTTGGTTGTATTAGTATCACGAGAAGAAACTTAAGTGGTCCACAACAAAAAGGACTACTCCAAAATAGGCATGGGGATGAATTAGATATCCGGAATTTCAGTAGGATCCGTAATCCGCTATGGCCTGTCTAGATTAATATTTTTTGATCTGTATTTGCTTTATTACTAAACAGATATTCAGTGTTTAGATATCCGTCAAAATTTAGATTTTTGATTGGATATCTGATCTGTTTCAAAATCTTAAATTAATTAAAAAATATATATAATAAATAAAATATGGATAATTTTCATATTTACACTGAAAACAAGTTTTATGACAAATATAACAGGGAAGCTAAAAATTTTCCACCCTCTAACATTTTTTATTTGATCTTTCCGATTTTTTCCTTTATGAAAATTTTCCTATTGTTAAAAAAAATCATGAATTGTGGATGGGCTTTCTGAGTTGTAGAAGAGCTTACTAAATTGTGGAATGACTTCCTGAATTTGAATTGTTGTATAGATTAATAAAAAAAAAATCAATTATACGATTTACAAAGACTTTCCTAAATATATATAATGACTTCCTTAATTTATACATGTTACGAAAATCGTTCTAAAAGTTTAGAATATCTTCCTAAATATACTCTCATCTTCTTCCTCACTTCTATGACACTCAAACCCTAATTTTCGTTGTTTCCCTTTTTTTCACCATTATTGTTGTTTTAGTTCGGGTTTCTTGAGCTTTTCATTTATTATATCAGATCTATATTCCACTATATGATTTTGAGTTTAAATTTTGAAAATACTTTCCCATCAAAAAAACCCCAAAGATCTAAAAGATTTACAATCACAAATCACAATCAAACGAGAAGAGCGATCTTACAAAGAATTCAAATTTTAGATCAGCTTGGCCATTAATAACTTTGTTTCTGCACTATTTTTTCTCCTTTTATTAACTAATGTTTTGTCTAACTAAAGTTAATATGGTCAAATCTTTAGTAGAAAATGTTATTGAATTTTTTTTTAGAGTGTTAGTGTATATTAGGCAAAAAAAACTTAGATTAGGTGTATCTGAAGGTATTTGTTTTAAAATATTGATAAAAATACTTAAGAAGTCAAAAGTTAACTCATATATTGAATTTTAAATTGTTCTTTCTTAATTTATTAATTTTGTATTAAAATAACTAATAAAATACTTATAAATTCATAAAATTTTACATATAAATATAATAACTATATATTCTATATGTAATTATTTTTATATATACACATATATATATATATTAGAGCGTATCGGATATCAGCCTCTTAAAATTTTAATATTTGTGATTTGCTCCATTTTTAACAGATATTAAAATTTAAAATTTGATGTGCTCCGTAATATTATGGATATCCAGATTTTTTGAATCAAATCAAAGTGAATAGCAGATCGGATCGAATCAAATATAACGCATAATATGCCCAGCCCTACTCCAAAACACTTAACAAATCAGAACAAAACAAAAGAAAGCTAGCAAAAAGGTTGAAGGAGACATCATAATTTTCTCATTTGCAAACGGTCAATCAATTAATTAATAATGTACTCAATTAATCTACCTAACCAATCTCCAAGCTTATAAAGAGTCTTCCAGTACAGAACAATCAAAGCATAAGGAAGAAAAACGAAGAATATAACAAACAAGAAAAACATATACTTCCTCTTGAATCTCTTAAAATTGTTCCTTTTTTGTGATTTGACAATCAAGGCAAAGGAAATGGGATCAAAGTTTCACGCGTTTATGTTCCCATGGTTTGGTTTTGGTCACATGACTGCATTTCTGCATCTGGCAAACAAACTAGCTGAGAAAGGGCACAAAATCACTTTCTTGCTACCAAAGAAAGCTCTGAAACAGCTTGAACACCTCAACCTGTTCCCAAATCGCATCGTCTTTCACACTATTACCGTTCCTTCCGTGGAAGGCCTCCCTGATGGTGCCGAAACAACCTCGGATATCCCCATCTCGTTAGGGAGCTCCCTCGCTTCGGCTATAGATCGAACAAGAAACCAGGTCGAAGAAAGGGTTTCTATTGGTAAACCGGATCTGATTTTCTTCGATTTTGCTCACTGGATCCCGGAAATAGCTAGAGAGTATGGAGCCAAGAGTGTGAATTTCGTAACCATTTCCGCAGCATGTGTAGCTATCTCGTTTTCCCCGGGTCGTAGTGCAGACGAGTTAGCTGTTCCTCCGCCGGGATATCCTTCGTCCAAGGTGTTGCTTCGGGGACAAGAAACCGCCTCTTTGTCGTTCCTCTCTTACCCGTTTGGTGACAACACTACGTTTTACGAACGGATCATGACAGGGCTTATGAAATGCGACGTCATTTCGATAAGGACTTGCCAAGAAATGGAAGGAAAATTCTGCGATTTCATCGAAAGCCGGTTTCAAAGAAAAGTTCTCTTGACGGGTCCAATGCTTCCTGATTCGGACAATAGCAAACCACTAGATGAAGAATGGAGTCACTGGTTGAGCCAGTTCGAGCCTGGATCAGTAATATACTGTGCATTAGGCAGCCAAATCATTCTTGAAAAGGATCAGTTCCAAGAACTCTGCTTAGGAATGGAGCTGACAGGTTTACCGTTTCTTGTAGCGGTTAAGCCACCAAAAGGCACGTCGTCGATTCAAGAAGCGTTACCAAAAGGGTTCGAAGAGCGGGTTAAAGGGCGTGGAGCGGTTTGGGGAGGATGGGTGCAACAACCATTGATATTGGCTCATCCATCAATAGGCTGCTTTGTGAGCCATTGTGGGTTCGGGTCAATGTGGGAGTCTCTAGTGAGTCACTGCCAAATAGTGTTTATTCCACATTTGGGTGAACAAATATTCAACACAAGACTGATGAGCGAGGAATTAGAGATCTCGGTGGAGGTGAAAAGAGAGGAGGCAGGATGGTTTTCGAAGGAGAGCTTGAGCGGTGCCATAATGTCTGTGATGGACAAAGACAGCGAGCTAGGGAACCTAGTGAGGAGGAACCACGCCAAGTGGAAAGAGTCTCTGGTTAGTAATGGACTAATGAATGGTTATGTTAATAAGTTTATACATGCATTGGAGAAACTAGTCTAGAAGAGAGGCCGGAGAACTAAAACATGAATAAATTACTTTGTAAATAAATTTGGTAAGCCACAATAACGTCATATGAAAAATGAGACATGTGTTCGGCTTTTTTAATAAATGTAAGACATGTGTTCGGCTTTTTTAATAAATGTAATTTATTCGTGTCATGTGATTCCTGTGTTAGCTTTATGCGTTACTTGTCTCTTGTATAATTTATATACTAGATCTGTTTGTGAATTTGTTTCTTTATAGCCTGTTTGGTTGTATTAGTATCGGGAGAAGAAACTGAAGTTGTCCACACCAAAGAGGACCACACCAGAAAACTGGCAAAAAGGTTGAAGGAGAGACATCATAATTTTCTCATTTGCAAACGGTCAATCAATCAATTAATAATTTACTCACTAAATATCCCAATCCACCTAACCAATCTCCAAGCTCATAAAGAGTCTTCCAGTACAGAAGTACAGAACAATCAAAGCATCTAGAGAGGAAGAAAAACAAAGAATATAACAAACAAGAAAAACATATACTTCCGCTTGAATCTCTTGAATAATTGTTCTTTTTTTTCTTGTAATTTAAAAATCAAGGCAAAGGAAATGGAATCAAAGTTTCATGCGTTTATGTTCCCATGGTTTGCTTTTGGTCACATGACTCCGTATCTGCATCTGGCGAACAAACTAGCTGAAAAAGGTCACCGGATCACTTTCTTGTTACCCAAGAAAGCTTTGAAGCAACTTGAATTTCTCAATCGTTTCCCAGACAGTATTGTCTTTCACCCTCTCACAATCCCTCCTGTCAACGGCCTCCCTGCTAACGCCGAGACGACCTCAGACATCCCAATCTCCTTGGACAAGTTCTTGTCCGAAGCCATGGATCTCACACGCGACCAGGTCGAAGCTGCGGTTCGTGCTTTGAGGCCGGACTTGATCTTCTTCGATTTTGCTCACTGGGTTCCAGAAATAGCTAAAGATTATATAATCAAGAGTGTGAGTTACATCATAGTATCTGCGACCACTATAGCTCACACACATGTCCCTGGTAGTGAACTAGGCGTTCCCCCACCGGGTTATCCTTCATCGAAGGTCTTGTTCCATGGACACGACGCTCACGCTTTGACGACCTTATCGATCAACTACAAGCGTATCTATCACCAGCTCACTACAAGTCTCAAGAGCTGTGATGTTATCTCAATGAGGACTTGCCAAGAAATCGAAGGTAAATTCTGCGACTTCATAGCGAGTCAATACCATAGGAAGGTTCTCCTGACTGGTCCAATGCTCCCGGAGGCAGACAAAAGTAAGCCGCTAGACGAACAATGGAGTCGTTTTCTAAAGCGGGTTAAGGAGCGTGGAGTGGTTTGGGGAGGATGGGTGCAGCAACCACTGATACTGTCTCATCCATCTGTTGGTTGCTTTGTGAACCATTGTGGGTTTGGGTCGATGTGGGAGTCTCTGATGAGTGATTGCCAGATAGTGCTGCTTCCATTTTTGGGTGATCAAGTTCTCAACACAAGATTGATGACAGAGGAACTCGAGGTCTCTGTAGAAGTGTCGAGGGAAAAGACGGGATGGTTTGCGAAGGAGAGCTTGAGTGATGCGGTCAGGTCTGTGATGGATAAAGACAGCGAGCGTGGGAAGGTAGTGAGGACGAACCACGCTAAATGGAAGGAGGTTCTGGTTAGTCCTGGTTTATTGACCGGTTACGAGGATAAATTTGTAGAGGCATTGCAAGAGTATCTGATTTGATCAATGTCCATAAAATATAAATTATATACACAAAAAGTTGTATCAAGATTTAATCAAGACCCTTAAGAGTTAAGATTACTCCCCTTTAATATTATACTGAATTACTGATCACTCTTTTCCCTTTTCCCAAACCTTCAAACGTATTTATCAAGAACCGGTTTTAATAAAATCTTTCAGAGGAATTATATCGAACACCTTGCGTGCTAAGTCTTGTGTTTCACTAATAACCTAATACAGAGCTCTCCTCTCACATTAATTTCACTCTGTCATTCTGGTTTTGTCAATTCTAAATCCTAGAGACTCAAATCTACACAACCTAACTTTCTCTCAGCTCATTTTGTATACTATATAGATTAGATTCCTCATACTGATACAGTATATGTATATACTCTGTTTGTTCCGCTAGGTCTTTTGTCACCAACCACTCGTTTACCAACCAAATTTCTCAAAAGAGAAGAGACATGAGGGTTCTCAGAAGAAACCTGAGCGATGCAATCATGTCTGTGATTGACACAGACAGTGAGGAGGAACCACGCAAAGCGGAAGGAACCTTCGGTCAGTAGTGTGGTTATGTCTTGACATATGTACGTAGAAATTTTAAAAAGATTAATTAACATTCATACCCAAAAAAAAATGTACGTAGAAACTTTACATTTTACTTACAAAAAAAAAAATGTACGTAGAAACATTAACGAATTTAGTAATAAAAGTCTTGAATAATGGAAAAATAATTCTGACTTGAAAAAAAAAAGGAAAAATATTCTTATAAACATTGCCATTAATTAGTTTTTAGTCAACTAGGTATTTACCCGCTCTATGCTGTAGAATATTTTTATAAATTTTGTATATATTTTTAATATAATAAAATTATTTTTATAATATAAATGAGTATTATATTTACTTTTTATTAGCTTAAGTTATGTATTTATATGTTTTAAATTTGAATAAACATTATATTTTTTTTTATTTTTTTAAATTATAATTTGCTATTAAATTTAGTTAGCTAACTAATTATAAATATATATATAAAAATAAAACAATACATTTTTAGTACCTTCATGCTAATGACAAATGTAATATATTTTCTCCAATAAATTACCACATGATCCTCCTTTGTAATTATATAAAGCAAAATGCCATTTAAAAAAAGATTTATTAATTAATATGATTATTTTGAATTATAAAATTTATTTATTTATCAAATATTTTATTATAACATATGTTTCTAAAACTACCAAACTATAATCAATAACATTCATATCAAAACAATTGTCATTGTTTTAGAACTAAATAGAAAATTATGTTTGAACTCTTAAAATATCATTTTAGTTAAAGTTAAATAATTAAATTTTGGTTACTGTAAACATAATTTAACTTGAAAATTTAGCACATAGAAATTTCATCTTCTTACAAAAATCGAAAAATGGCATTTCCCGTCAAAACAAAAAAAACTTCATTTTCCCATTAAACTGAGAAATCGGCTACTCCCGCCAAAATCAAAAAATTCATTTTCTCGTCAAACCTAAAACCTAAAATTTTAATTTCCCGCGATAACCTATGTTTTTCCACCAAAGCCGAGAAATTACGTTTTTTCACAAAAACCAAAAAATTTCATCTTCCTACAAAAACCAAAAAAAAAATTTGTATTTTCCTGTCAAAATCGAAAAATTTATTTTTCCTGCAAAAACTGAGAAATCGTCTATTCCTGCAAGAAAAAAAATCATTTTCTTGTCAAGCCCAGAATCACGCTTTTCTTTAAAAACAAATAAACTACAATTTCCCGCGAAAACCAAAAATTGCATTATCTTCCGTGAAATTGTGTTTTTCCGCAAAAGCTAAGAAATTGTTATGTTTTTATCGGTTCAAGTTTTTGGTGATGTGTGAGCTTCTTATAACATAAGGCCTTTTGCGTTGTTGTCATGGAAGCATAGTTGATGCCGAACCTACACTTTTTCATATACGTCTATGTCAAACAAACATATAGCTAGAATTTTTTTATTATTTACTTATTGTTATTTATTATTTAGATTTGGTTTTGGTAAAAAAAAAAAGAAAACAATGATTTAATTTTTTAAATTTATTATTTGGGTTTGGATTTGGTAAAAAATAAAATAATGTTTTTTTATTTGCTGTTATTAGTTATTTGGGCTTGGGTTTGGTAAAAAATAAAACAAAAATTAATAGAAAAAATATTTGGGTTTTTAATGAGTTTAAGTTTAAAAATTAAAATAAATAGATGAGATGTATTAATAAAATATTTTGATTGGTGATTATTTTTGCTGATGTATCATGTTTATAAAGCTTAAAAAAACTGAGGTGTCAAGCCATGGAGAGACTTTAGTGTTATTGTTGTGTTGATTTAAGAATTGTATTAGGACCCCTTACAAATTTTGAATATGGAAATTAATATTTGGTGATTGTATGAAATATGTTAAATATGAAGATTTTCTCTCTATATATATAAAGCTTTTTTGGTTTACAAATTACAACAACTCAATAAGATCCCACTAGAATCACAACTCTCCTTTGAGACAGCCGAACCATGAAATCTGTAACACCCGCCTCTCATCATTTTAAGACGGCGTGCCACCCACTTAACTTTCTAACCAAGTTATCACTCTTTTAATTCAAAATTAATACTCTTTCATAAATAGAACTCAAAGTAGTCTTGCAAATAACCAAGTTAAACTCAAATAAATCATAATCAAGTCTCAAAACCAACTGAAAATCATTTGAAAAAGAAAGCTAAGTGTCTTAAGGACCCCAAGGACCGAATTAGAGAACCAGTCACCACCATCACATGCCAATCACTGCTGCTGCTCCTCTTCACCTGCGCAAGGGAGAAAAGGGACAGGGAGGGGATGAGTAATTTAGATTACCCAGGAGAATGCATACATGTGGTCCACCACACATATCACAACCTAAACATGTCGCTAGCCATCAGCTAAACGAACAAGTATTCACAACTATTCAATAATCAACAATCAACAAACAATCATAATAGGTCTAGGTAGGAACTACATATACCATAAACACAACAAGCAATCACATTAGGTCTAAGTAGGAACTGCATCTACCATAACCTCAACAACCCTACAAGTGGAACTGCATCACTTTCAACTACCGGTATAGGTAGGAACTGCATCTACCGTAACCACAAACAATCCGATAAGTGGAACTGCATCACTCTCGGTCCTCATGTCTAGGTAGGAACTGCATCTACCGCAACATCAACAATCCGACAAGTGGAACTGCATCACTTTCGGTTCCTAATGCAGTTGTGCTCTTAACACTCTATATGCAATGCAACCCACAATTCTCACAAGCAATCAAACATCAAACAGCAATCATCAATATTAACTGTGGTCCTAGATCTATGTTCTGAACCAGTAAAAGTAAATCAAAGCACACAACAATCAACTACAAGTTACACCATAAATGCAACCTGCAAGGGAAGGAATCCGCTTATCCTTAACCAGAGACAAGCGCGGAAGATAATACGGAAGGGAAGGCATGGATACATCCTCACCTTTGACGGATTGAATGAACAGCTAAAACAAAAGGGGTTAAGGTTTAGGGATCTAACGACAAGAAGCAGAAAACGCAAGGAGACAGCAAGACAGCACAAACGAACGGTGACGGCGGCTCCTCTCTCCCTCGGCGGTGGGCGGCGTTGGCAGAAGGTTAGGGTTTACTGAGTGTTCTGGGAATTGTGATGACAATTCTGACTCTCTAACTCTCTTTATATAGGGAAGGGGGGAACTCTAGGGTTAGGGATTTTATAACCTAATGGGCTTAACGGGCTTTTGGGCTTTAAACATTAAAGAAAAAAAATAACAGGCTGGTTTAGTGAAACCGGGATGTTACAATTCTCCCCCACTTGAAAGGAATTCGTCCCCGAATTCATGGGACTACTTCTCCCCCACTTGGTTTCCGACCAAACTTTCAAATGGATCTTTCTCAATGGACCTTATACTTCTAGGGTTCTACTCTATAAGCAAACAAAACTAAACAACTGCACCACAATGACGGAGTTACTTACCAACAATCGGTTCAGCCCCTTTGTGATTTCCTGCCATGACAACACGCGGTCCAGGGGCGTGTCTTTTAGGTGGTGGCGGCAACTGTTCTTGGTTGGCTCCTACCTGCTGTGGTATGTATGCTCTACAATCCTTTGCAAGATGTCCCAACCGTCCACAACGACTACAATGTCCTACTGCTAATGCTATTGGGCATTCCTGTGCAATGTGTCCTGGCTGATCACACCGGAAGCACAAACCCTCCTTGCACACCCCGCGATGCACCCTTTTACGCTTCACACAAGTTGGAGCAGCTCCTTCTTTCTGGTTAGCAGTATCCCAAGCTCGCTTATAGGTTTCCATTCCCTTAGCGGTCCTTTCTTGGGCATTCTGCACGAGCTTCTGCTCCTCCTCAATTCCAATCTCCTGAGTTGCAGCCGTTTCCACGAGGTCAATCATATTGTCATACCTTCTTATGGAGCAGCGATTCTTGAGTTCAACCCGCATTCCTCTAAGGAAAAGTCGGATCAACTCTTGCTCTCCTGGGTAATGACCCGCAAATCTCCTTAAACGATTGAACTCCTCCTCGTACTCACGTACGGTCTTGCTTCCTTGACGCAAGTCTTGGAATGCACTCACCATCTTTTCCATCGCCTCGCGAGGAAAGTACTTACGGGAGAATTCCGTCCTGAAATCTTCCCAGGTGAGCTCATACCGTCCCTCAGCCTTCTCCACAAGACCTTCCCACCATACCAGCGCCTCGTCCTTCAGGTATTGGATGGCCAGGTCTCTGCGGTATGCTAGCGGACATCTTGCTCCATCAAGATTTCTCTCCAACTTCTTTCTCCAGTTGTCTGCGGCAGTAGGATCGCTCTTACCCGCAAACATCTCAGTCCCCATGAGACGAACGTGATTTATTACCTCCCAATAGGTTGGTACAGGCTCCCTGTCCTGCCCATGACCCAAAGGTGGTGGTGGGGG